GAGGAGGGTGGAGATGGGCAGGAACGGTTTATTCATCTAGAACGTGTTGACCAGAAAATGAGTGACTGAGGCGAGTGTCTCTGTCAGTTGAGGTTTATTGAGCCAAAGTCTGAGGACACACCCGGGAAAAACACCAGCCACAGAAGCACCTGTGACCTCTGCTTTCCAAAGAGGTCTTTAGGAACCCAGTGCTGGGGAAAGGGGGCAGGCGGGAGGGAAGAGGGAGGAGGATGGGAGTGAGGCTCCAATTAGCGCTCAGTAAATCCACGTTTTATGTAAGATAAGGTAAATGCATGACAACAGGGAGCAGAGGATCAAATCGTCATTCACCTGCCCCAGGGTGGGGTGAAGAGCAACTGATCTCAGCTGGTCCTTCTTCTGTACCTGGGAAGATGAGCTCGAAATCAACATTGTCAGCTGAGTTCCTAAAACAGAACTCAGTTTTAGAAGTAAAGCTTAGGCTGCAGTCCTATGGCTGCAATCCGAGTATGCTTGTTTTATAGGGGAGTGTGGATCCTCAGGGATTTAGGGGCCAGAAAGGAATTTCCTTGTGAGCAGTTTGTGAGGATGGCCATCTGGAGAAGCACGAGGCCTTTTGTCATTTTGGTGAGAGCGCCTGGCTTACTCAGAATGCTGTGACATTACTCAACATCGTTTCAGGGAATTATTCATACTTTATTATTGTTATTATCATCATCATTTTGAGAAGAGTCTTGCTCTGTCACCCAGGCTGGTGCAGTGGTGCAATCACAGCTCACTGCAGCCTTGACCCCCTGGGATCAAACGATTCTTCCTCCTCAGCCTCCCAAGTAGCTGGAACTATAGGTGTTTGCCACCATGCCCAGCTAGTTAAAAAAAAAAAAAAAAAAAAAAACTAGAGATGGGGCATTATTTTGTTGCTGAGGCTGGTCTCAAACTCCTAGGCTCAAGTGATCCTCCCACCTCAATCTCCCAAAGTTCTGGGATTACAGGCACGAGCCACTGTGCCTGGCCCATACTTACTGTTTGTCTCATTCCCAAATTTACAATTGGTATTTTTTCAGTCGCTGAGAGTATATTACACTTCTATTGCTTACACTTCTATAGCTTTCTATTTCTATGGAATCTGTCCCCATCAGGTTCAGTTATGTGGACATCCTCAGCATCACTCTAAAGGCATTCTGGGGATTTGAATTGTGGAGGGTGAATCAGCCTAGCTAAATAGGTGAGTCAGTGCCCAGAGAATCAAAAGACCAGAAATCTCAATTCAGTACTCGATAGCGTGTGGCCTAAAGCACTAAGCAATTAGACTCAATCATGTACCTGCATCAAAGCTACTTACCAAAGACAAATGAGATCACACAAATAACCTGTAAGAGTAAAAATCCTCTGCTGATTTAAAGTACATATCAACCAGGCACGGTGGCTCATGCCTGTAATCCCAGCACTTTGGGAGGCCAAAGTGGGCAGATCACCTGAGGTCAGGAGTTTAAGACCAGCCTGACAACATGGTGAAATGCTGCCTCTACTAAAAATTAGCTGGGTGTAGTGGCACGTGTGTGTAATCCCAGCTACTTGGGAGGCTGAGGCAGGAGAATCACTTGAACTCAGGAGGCAGAGGTTGGAGTGAGCTGAGATCACACCATTGCACTCCAGCCTGGGCAACAGAGCAAAACACTGTCTCAAAAATAATAATAAATAAAGTACATATCATGATGGTGTTTTGCAGCTGGGATAGCAAAAGCATGGAAGATTGGATGAACATAACTGATATCCATCATGATAATGGCCGCCTCCAGATGAGGACCTCAGAGGGCAGTAAGTGCTCTGCAGGAGATAGATGGAGGGTTTTATGGGAGCTCTGTCGCAGAGTGCACAGGAAGGTGACATAATTTAGCCCAGATATGCTCCTAAAAGACTATTTCTGCTTTCCTCTTGCTCTTTTTGGTACACGCCAATAAAGTCAAGAAGGCCCATTAGAAAATATATCAGAGTTGTAATAATAATAATAACTAACATTTATGGAGCGTTTATGTTGAGCCAGCCCCATTCTAAGCACCTTGTGTATATTTGCCCACTTAATCCTCATGGCCCTTTGAGGTGAGTAATGGTAGCATCAGTAATTTCCAAATGCGATAGCAGGCTTAGAGAGTTTAAATAACTCCAGCAGTTCTGCGCAGGAGAGCATCGATCTCTTGTCTATAACACGTTCCGGGCTGCTTCCTTTGCCCTTGACTCTGTAATTGTCTGTCACTTAATTTGACCATAGTATACCCTTGCAGGTAAAACAAATGCGTGAGATGAAGAGATTTGGTAAAATGTTGCTTTTGAAAACACACTCCCTAAGCAAAAATGCAGAGTCTCTAGCATGTATCACAAGGCAGGATTAGCTCTGGAGGAACATAGGTGATGAAGACACAGACCCTTCCCTTGGAATTGTTGAGGAAAATAGACATGAACCCATAAACCCAATTGCACATTCTAGGGAAATACAGCAGTGTAGGCACTGGCACTATGTTTCTTCCCCTATCCCACAAGCTGACCACATCTCCAAAGGAATGCGATCACAGAGGGAAATCATTTATAGTCATCGGAGATGAGGGAAGTAAGGCACCCACATGCACTTGTTCTGAGGAGTTCTTGCTAAATGTATTGCAGATGAGAGCAGAGAGACTTCTGTAGTTGGAGTTGAACCCCTCTTCTGAGTGTATATGACATCTCAAGAATTAAGTAGGGGACACCCTGGTGGGGCTCTACTAGGTCCACATGTTAGAGGGCTGAGAGCTGGAGCCGTAGGATCCACCCCACTCGGACTTGAGAAATGGCAGATGTGACGCAAATCAGTATGACAGGTGCTGTCCAGCAGTGCCCTCAGGGAACTGCAGAGCCCGGGATGTGTTGATGGGAGGGCCATGGGGCGGGGAAAGGAAGGCTTCAAAGAGGAGCTAGAGACCAAACAGGAACTTGAAAGATGAGGAAGAGGGAGGCGGGGACGATGGAGTGAAACAGGGAGGCATTCCAGGGAGAGGAAGCAGCTTTACTAGAAGTCTGAAGCTGAGAAACACATGGCACATTGGAGAAACAGCAGCAGTTTTGCAAGACCCTAAGATCGCTCAGGCTAGAGCGTGGAGATTTGATGGAGATGGAGAGGTGACCAAGGCTGGACAGAGGAGGCAGGGTAAGATGCTGCAGTGAGTCACAAGAGAGGTGATGCAGAATTGGTGGAGCAGGAGATGAAGCACGTGCGTTGTAGGACATGAGCGGAAGGTGAAGTTGAAGCCGCGGGTGAGGCTGAGCATCATAGCATGAAGCACTGAGCTGGCAAAATGAAAGAAGAGGCAAGTCTGAAAGGAAAGGTGGGGAGTTATGTATGGGACCCGGTGAGTTGGGGTCCCCTTGGAGATATCCAGGAGAGAGACGAATGTGTGACACAGGTTGTTGTCATAAAGTATGAGACTGCCATGTATTACACAAAGACCACCAGGAAGGCTGAACAGTAGAAAAGAGCTTTATTGGCAATAGCAGTTTGCAAACTGGGAAGAGTGTACCAAAGGTGCCCTCTCTTCAGAGAGGGAAAGTGCAGGCTGGTTTTCTGCCTCCCAGGATCCATATTACACAATAGAGTCAGATATGTTCAGAAAGTGTTAGGGAAAAGCCATCCATGTTTGTGAGGGGAGTGAAGCGCATGTGCCACACGTAAACATAAATGTAACACACATCCCATGTTCACTCTGGGGCAGAGTTTTAACATTAAAGCGGGGTGCTAAATTTGGCTCTTTACATCAAAAGGCAAATTGTCGGACACAATGACATTTTGTATGCAGCGTCTGTAAGCTGCTGAAACCTGCTTGAGGTCTGCTGCTGCTTATCAGGAAAGAATGCCTGGAAGGATGGTCCCCTGTCCAATAAGCGTTGCAGGGGTCTGGGTTGTAAATCAGTTAGGAAGGGTCTCACGCTTCACCTGATTGCTCCTATCATTAGTGAGACTAACAAGGGTGTGTTTTTCCTGTAGCTGTGGGAATTTAGGAGGTTATGACAGCCAAGCCCTGGACCCTCAACCCCTGGCTAACTTTTGTTTCTTGAACCTTAGAGTTCATCTTAGTTGATGAAGGGGTAACTGTCTTGGTCTCTCAGATCACTTGTGGAATGGAGAGTGAAGATGAGACCAACTAAAATTTGCAGAGCACAGAGGACAGATCACACAAGCTTAGTCCTGAGGCATGCTATCCAGCACTTGTATTTTTATATACAGAAACTCTCCTTTCTATTTTAATACCCAGGGAAATCCCCCTTCTCCCTGCCATCCACTGTGAACACAAAAAGGCAACCCACAAAAATCGTTTATGTTAATTTCTTTCTTGTATATACATTACACATTTTCTTGGCTCTTAATATAGGCAGATAGATACACATATTTTTACATACACATGGATACATACATATACACACACAAATATGTACTTACACACACACCCACACATATATGTGTGGCTGTTAAATGGATTCTGATAATTTACATACCCAGCAGCGTTGTATGAAAGTGTGTGACTCATTTTGTCCTTACCAACATTAAGTAAGAGCATTTCAAAAATTTGATAATTGCACAGGCAAAAACATATTATTGTTTTTATTATATATTTTTTCTTTTTTTTTTTTTTTTTTTTTTGAGTCTGAGTCTTGCTCTGTCACGCAGGCTGGAGCGCAGTGGCGTGATCTTGGCTCCCTGCAACCTCTGCTTCCCAGGTTTAAGCGATTATCCTACCTCAGCCTCCAGAGTAGCTGGGATTACAGGTACCCCCCACCACGCCCAGCTAATTTTTGTTTTTTTGCAGAGAGAGAGTTTCACCATGTTGGCCGGGATGGTGTCGAACTCCTGATCTCATGTAATTTGCTCACCTCAGCCTCCCAAAGTGCTGGGATTACAGGCATAAGCCAGATGCCCAGCTTATTTTATTATATATTTTAAATATTATAACACTTTTTACATTTAAATTAAGACTTAAATGTTAATTTAGCCTCAAAGAAAATGCATTATTAATTTCTAATGTTATTTTTTCGCAGCTGTGTTTGCCTAACTGTAAATATTCAAAAGAGCTTAAATACCACAGAGCCAAAGCTATTTTAATTTTTTAAAGGATTTGGTCATTTCCCTTTAGTAATTTGAGGCCACTTTTGATTAAGATTTTAATTTAATATGCAGCTTTTTCATATATATTCTTTTTACTTTATAATTTCTGTATTTATAATCCATGCCTTAAAATGCCAATTGCATGTATTTCTTTTCTTTTGGTTTTTAAATTATCATATAGTAAAGTTCACTTTGGCTTTGGTGTACAGTTCCATGAATTTAGACTTCTGTGACTACTAGAACAATCAAGCTGAAGAACAGTTCTGTCTTCACCCAACATTTGCTCATTTTGATCCTCCCTGCTCCAACTCCTGGCAACCACTGATGTTTTTCTTCATATTGTTTTGGATTTTCAAGAGTGTCCTATAAATGCAATTACGTAGTATCTTATTTTGAATGTCTTACATTGCTCACATGACTGAACATTTTTCCACAATTAGTTGCAACTGTGTTTTTTGTATCTTGTATAGTTTGTGCCTTTGCAATTTCTTTTCTTGGGTCATAAACAGTGCTTTTCTTACAAATTTGAATACCCTTATTGTGTAAGAATGATGTTAACTTATTTCTGTTGCACCAACCATTGCTATTTCCCGGGGTAGGTCTTTAAGTTTGGTTATTTTCCTTAAATGTATAAGACCTTACCAATAGGAATAACACTTGATTAATAATATTGTAATACTCTGGTGATGCAGTCTGATGCAGTATCCCTAAATCTGGGAAAGATTGTAAAAAAAAAAAAAAAAAGTTAAAGATGCATTATTTCTAGTGTGTAGGAGTTGGAAACAGACTAAATACGTAGCTTTAGACTTTAGGAAAGCAGATCATAGAGCTACAGACAGTAAAATGTCATGCAAGAATGACAAGGATGTCTGCAAAGATGTCAAAGAAACTTGAAAAATTTTTATAGTAAAATGTTAAATTAAAAAGCCAAGTATAATTCCATACCCACAGGATGATCATAGCATGCAGAGAAAAACACAAAACTTGCTAATTTTAAAAGATGAGGGAAAATAGATCAAAATAATAACCTTTTTTTTATTGGTGGAAATATTGAGAGACGTCTTACTAACTCTGCATGTCTTCTTCATTTTTCATTATGATCACCTGAAAAGCTCTCTGAACTACATGGAGAAAAGCACTCTGGGTAGTTCAGGTGTAAAATGCTGCCATCTGCCTGAAAAACTCACTCCTGAGCCTGAGGTTCTATTCAATGATGTGTGAAGCTTACCCCACAAATACCAATTCTGTCTTCTAGATGTCAAATATATGTCAGATCATGTCACTGTGACCAGACCTTTAGAAAGAGGGATACTGACTTGGCTGCCAGACAGAACGTACATGTATTGGACAAATAATCAAAATGCTTAGAAGTAACAGAATACTGCAAGTGAATCTGGCCAAATGGCCATATCATCTGCATTGCTTATTAAGTAAGAAATCATTGTCTAGGCAAGACCTTCAGGAGAGAGGATTTTGCCCCCAGCTCTCTTCCTTGCTGTAACGAAAGCCCTGGTCACCCCAGAGGTTTCCATCTCTTCCTGAGACAGCATTTCCCAGATACCTGCTGGGCTGCTGTTGCCTGATTAGAAAGCCAACCTGGGAATAGCAGAGCGACACCAGGAAAGGCCAGAGCGCTTTAACTCAGGTTTGATGAGTCAGTGATCCCTCCAGACTCAAAAAGAATTAAGGAAATCTTCAAAAAATCCCTACATGGCAAAAACTTCCATAACTGAAGATGATTCTCAGTGACTTTTTCCTGATTTGTGGAGAAATGAAGTTTTGTCTAAAAGACCCAAGTGGCCCAGGAAAGAAGGGATTCTCAAAGAAGCTCTCTCCCGAGAACTCACAGCTGTTAGCCCCGCTCCTGCCTGGGAATTCTAAACTCATAGGGCCAAGGGGGCTCCCTAAAGACAAATGTTTACGACATCTACCTGCTAATTCAGCAGCATGATAGATACAGAACCCAACAAATCATGATGTTTACACAACCATCTCCTTTAGATAAACTTTCCAAACTCTGCAGGAAACTAGGACTTCATTAATATCTGTGAAATTAACAGCACCTGTCAAAAGCTCCTAATCTGTCTCTTGTAGAGCCAAAGAACACTGGCATTTAGCGTACTGGAGATCCCTTACAGCTTCGCTAGATGGGGTATTACAGGTCCAAGGTTTCCAGTTATGTTACTCATTCTCACTTCCAGGTTTTTATTATTTCACATAGTTTTCTTTCTTTATACAAAGGCAGAAAAGACAACCAATGCTTTGTTTCTTTGGCTTGGAAAAAAATATGAGTATAAAATGGTCAAGAAGAGAGAGGGAGCAAGGAAGTAACTTTTTCACTGAATATCAGATGATAATTTCAGATTAATGGAACCTCAGGAAAGTAGGTAAAAGAGAAAAGGTATTTAGTTCACATAAGCGGCCAGGACATTCAACAATGGAACAATAGATGAAGAATTAGACTAGATCTCTGGATTTGGAGCCAGCACTTTGGTAACTTTCATCTAAACCTCTTGAAAAACATGCTGATTTGGGGGCTTTTATCAAGTATTTTGTTCATCCTTAGATGATAAAGCCCTATTCTATAGTAGTCAATGAATTTGGAGTTTTCTGCGTGGTTTGTTAAGTTCAAAGGCTGTGTGTGTGTGTGTAACTGTGAAGAAAGCAGACTTTTTTGAAAATGTCCAAAGTAAATAAGGATCAGCTGCTGAATGCCTTGGGCCAATCCCATTACACACATAAATAGACCATGTAAGAATTTTGCGGTGTCATATTTAACTAGTGTGACTAAAATAGACTCGCTCTTTATAAACTCATTTTCTGATCACTGTGTGCTGTTTCCTGGGCACCTACTTGAATAACAGAAGACATAAAACGTTGGAAAACTTTTGCCTCACTCTGCCACGACTAGGCCCCACTCCATTAGGTTGAGTAGAATTAACTCTTGAGTTCGTTCTCACTAACAAGGTTGAGTGCAGACTTCCAGAAAGCTGCTCCCCTCGGCAAGTCAGTGTGTGGTTTGGGGTGAGTCCAGCAGTGTCCTCTGCAGAAGGGGAAGTGAAAGCATTCGTTCAGATGGATAGTGGACCCGTTTGAGGTTCTGGCTGTCCGCGATAAAGCATTGGCTAAGTGGACATGGGGCACCAAAAATATTCTCTCATAGCCCCCAAGCAGCGCTTGTCTTTTGTCGTTTTCTAGGGTGCAACCATGTCGCCATTTCTTCGGATTGGCTTGTCCAACTTTGACTGCGGGTCCTGCCAGTCTTGTCAGGGCGAGGCTGTTAACCCTTACTGTGCTGTGCTCGTCAAAGAGTATGTCGAATCAGGTAAGCTTGAGTGGGTTTTCAAAGCAGGGGAGGAGGAGGAGAACCCTGCTATGAACTATGTATGAAGCAAAGTCTTCCAGGACATTTGACATCATCTGGTTGAACCAAATCCTACCATTTAGGACACTGAGGCCCAACAAAGTCAAGGACTTCCTTGAGGACACACATTTCATGATGGACTCTAAACCAGGACCCGATGGCCCACCGGGGGCTCTATTTCACTGTGTTATTTTTCCTGCTTATACAAAGAGAAAATTGGGTTGGGGAAATTACGTAAGGAGTTAATAGGAAGGAACTCTAATGAGCTGAAGTAGAACATGGCCCTATGTGGTTAAGCCTGGTTACATTAAATAAGTCTAGGTAGATTAAGACTGCATAATCTTCCAACCAACTCTAAAGTCTGCTTACTGCTGCTTTGACAAAGCTGCAGTGGATATTACAAAGCATCTATAATTAGCCATTGGAGTCCAAATTTCAGAACACGTACTTTTGCACTTACTAAGGTCTTGGCTGAATAACACAATAGTGATGTTTCATCAAGTTTAAAATATTTACAGGCAGCTCGAGCTGGGAGAGGGGAAAGTGGGACAACCACCCAACGTCCCATTTGTGGGTTCAGAATGTTCTGTTCCAACAGTCTTACGTGTAGGGAATCTCTCTGTGGTCACGACAGCCAGCTTCCACTCCTGAGATCCTCACCACTGCATTGTAAGTTTGTCATGGATTTCCAAAGGAAAAGTAGGAGGGAGGTGATATCCCACAACTCTCCTGGCTGCACGCCTTTTCTTGGTTTCCTATGTGCATTTTGACTTTAGCAGACACTTTGTAGAGAATAATGAGGGTGGATGCAGGTTTGCAGTAACTATGGAAGCCGTCACACTTCACTTACGCAAAAGTGTTTATGGGGAGACCGCGGCAAGAGTGCTGGGCCCAGAGCATAGAGAGGAAAAAAGTCAGCCAGATAAGCTGAAAGAACTCAGGAAGACTTCCTTCCCTTTAGAGCATCTATTCTTGCAGAAGAAAGTGGCAGTAAACAAAAGTATAAACAGCAGGCAATGAAGGAACAAAAAGCGGTGTAACGGAAAGAGAGGGACTGTGAGCAGAGAAGTGTGTTTGTAAAGGGTTGTCCTGCAAAGGCCTGTGATCAGGGACATTTGCAGATGCAAGAAGAAACTGACGCAGATGTTGGGAACCTCCTGCTAGATGCTCATAATTTAGATTCTGGGGTTCCCAAACCTATTTTGCACCCCAACCAGAAGACTTTTTGCTTCACAGCTGACTTCATCCTTCCAGCCACTCTGAACACATCAAAGCCGGGGAGACTGTCTGAATCATCTTGATTTCCTTTCTGTCCAGAGTTCTCTCCTGTTTAGTTAAAAGTGTGAATGCCACTTGCTCCCAACCTAAAACCTTTCAAATGTCACAGACATCTTTGAAGTGTAAAATGTCTGAGTTTTTCAAAGCCACTTTTGACTTAATGGGTCTCTTGGATCCAGTTCTCTCTACCATCTCAGGTCTCCCTGACATTTGCCTCCTGAGGGCCTTTTTTCCCCCCTTCTTTTGCTTTTGCCCTTGCCTTTGAACTTGGTCTAATCAGCCATGTGGATCAAGAGACCTTGTCAAAGAAGGAAACTGGTTTTCCTAAATATTAGCCTGTGGAGTTGGAGGGAATTTAGAGATTTTTGCTTTTGATTTTCTTTGAGGTTTGTTCTGAAAAGAAGTCACTCTGAATATTATCGTTCAATATTTACTTCTCCAGAATTTAAACACGTTTCATTTCTTGGGGTGTAGGGCTGCGTTTTCCACACTAAGCCAACAGAACAGGGACAAACGGGCCACAGGGCTGTGAGGCTATGGGTCATTGAAAATGGTAACATTCTAGATAGATGGGATCCTCTGTGTAGGTGATTACAAACCTGGTGAATGAAAATGTAAAAAATACCTTGCTTCACGGATTTTTGCTCCTTCTCTGGGGATCTTTGGCCCTTTTCTCCAGGCACAGAGAATGGTTATAGTCAAAATGAATTATCCGAAAGGGAAGCTTCAGGTCTGTGGAAGTAAAATGTGACCATGATCATTGATATTGCCACTGGTTTCTATAAAACCCAATCACCAGTCCGAATTTTTTTTAACCAACCCATAAAAAATTTCCCCTTTCTATTCCACCTTTAGCAGTCTCATAGTTTAAATCTTTCCCAGCCGAATTTACCTAACATTTGAGTTTCAAGCTTATTCAACTCCTTGTATACCCCCAAAATAAATATTAATTTAACAAATGCTAAACGCCTGCTCTGTTTAGCTTTGTATGTTGGATAGAGGGGCCCTCGAAAGCTAGAAAGGCTTTATTTCCTGGCTTTAAGCGGATTTTCCCCTTTTGTTTAATCGACATCTCTGAACTGTTAAATCTGCCACTTAATGTGCTTATATCACAAGAAACAAACACTCAAATGTAGGTTTCTGCTTCTGAAATGATTAAACAATAAATACCAGAGAAAATCCAATGTGCATGAAAGACAGGAAAAACTCGTTAATTAGTAAACTCTTTGCCAATCACTGAGTAGCTTTAGGGAGGTTTCCTCTAAACCGACCTTCCCGTCTGTAGATTCTGCCCCCTGTAGATTTCCAGGGCTCCTGCCTGCCTGCCTGCCTTTCCTCACTTGCAGGCTTGCAGTCTTCTTCAGCCTCGCTGGCTCCATGGGTGAAGACCAGCACCACCTCTCTGAGTTGTTCATCAGCTTTTGCTGAAGGTGCATGATACATGTAAAATGTATCTTCATCCAAGAATTAGAGAGGGAAATAATGGCTCATTATGCTTGAAAGGTTACTGCCTCTTAGTGTATTTGTGTCAAATGGAAAAAAATTTTAAATATTTATTAAAGGAGCGTTCATTAGGTGCTTAAATTATGCCACTTTGTCTTTCAGATGAACACACAGTAGTTTTGTATTGGCTATGTTTTACCCAGGGCTAGTGAAGTAAATCAGTCATAGGATCAACACTTTATAGATTAACAAAGGAGGACCTCAAAGGCATAACAGATTTTTTTAAAGTTTTCTGCTTAGGTATTTACACCGAAAGTAAAGCAACTAAATATTGAATAGGAAAAGAACATTTGGAAAGCAAACCAATAATCCCCATAGACAGTTGTTTTTGAATAATTATAGAAAAGGACGCTTCTGGTCTTAAAGCTTAAAACTTGCATTTGTTTTATTATAAGAGTTTCCTCCTCAGGAGAGGATCCCCATGCCTCTCAAAAAATATTAGGGAACTGAAACTCACTAGATCATGGCATCCAGAGACTGAAGCGCCAGCCCCTGGCTCATCGTGATTGCTTCCTTACCCCTCCTGTTCCTGTTTTCTCATACAAAGTTACATTTTTTCCCTGCTATATAAATCCCTAATTTTAGTCGGTCGGGAAGATGGATTTCAGACTGAGCTCTCATCTCCTCAGTTTCAGCACCCTATTAAAGCGTTTTTCCTTGGCAATTCTCATCGTCTCTGTCATTGGCTTTCTGTGCAGTGAGGAGCAGAACCTAGCCCAAACACCTGGTGTTTCGGTAACAATTTCCAGTCCAAGGCATGAGCACACTGATGTCTGAATTATCTGCATTGGACCTATAAGGTTCAAGGCATCACCTTGCATCTAGACCTGGGGACTATCTCATTCTGTCCCATATTGTCTGATTGTTATGTGCTACTTTTGTCTTCCCAGCAGAATTCTATAGGACAGAGGGAGCAGCTGCTACTGTTGAATTGAACTGAATTATTTTCCAGGCCTGGCTGAAGGAGTAATGAGAACATACCTTTCTGTTCCTAGAGAATGGGCAGATGTATATCCAGAAAAAGCCTACCATGTACCCACCCTGGGATAGCACTTTTGATGCCCACATCAACAAAGGAAGAGTCATGCAGATCATTGTGAAAGGCAAAAATGTAGACCTCATCTCCGAAACCACTGTGGAACTCTACTCACTGGCTGAGAGGTGCAGGAAGAACAACGGGAAGACAGAAATATGGGTAATGTTGTGTAAAGTGTATGTCCCTAAGCATGTAGCAGATGACTGGCTCACAACTCCCATGTCAGTCTAAAGGTGTGTGATTACACTGGCCTCGGGTCACCAGGCTCCCTGCCACTTCCTTACTGGTGATTTGATCATGGCAATGGTTATCCTTTATGGGCTGTAGAATTCATTGACATCTTCAGATCTCTTTGATGCCTACATCAAACAGATGTAGAAAGTCTCTTAGGCTATGATAAATTGTTATTTATTTAAAGCTGTTAAAGCAGGCTTGAAACTATCACAAATTCCCCTTGATTGGGGGATGAGTTTTTGTCTATCAATCCAGTTGTCAGTTTCATTCACTTTTTCAATTTTGGAAGAATGTGTATAAGACTTAATCAAGATTTATCAAATGACAATTCTAATGCTTTTATTTTATTTGTTTTTTTCTTTTCAGCAGAACTGCCAGAACAAATGCTTTTAAACTTAGAATTTACTTGTTTAACCCAATAGACTCAGAACACATTGAGATATCGAAATCTTAATTTTATTAAACTTCGTCCATACATTTTTAGAGTAAAAAGCTATCAATGTGAGGGGATAGAACAAAGATCCATTTAATGTTTCGTCTTGTGTCTCCATACTTTGACAGTTTCTATAACTTTTCTCAGCTGTCATAAAATGGCTTAGCTTATTCTAACTAAGAAGTACATCATACGCAATTCATGTCAGCACCCCAAGTTATTAAAAACCTAGATTATGGTAGCAAATATTTATAAATGTTAAAAGGAAGATTAAAAGAATGAAAGCATTAAAAAAAATTCTAATGAAAATTTCTGGGGCACAAAACAAAGGAAAATATATCAGTAAGAAACTGTTTTTATATTATCTGAAATCCAGAAAATGTTTTCAAATGTTTGTATCATCTATGCCAAAAGAGAGAATCCTGACTTTCTGCTCCTTACTTTCTGTAACTCAGATTTTAAGAAATCCACCCAAAAGACTTTCAACTTAGATTTTAAGAAATCCACCAAAAGTATTTTCAAGAACTCAGATTTTAAGAAATCCTCCCAGATTTTCAAGTCACAGGCTTCAAATGGGAATGATGTAAGCCTAAAAACTAGGTTTTTGTGTCAGTTTTGTATTTTTGACCTAAAAAAATTAGTGCTTTTTAAGAAAGTATAAAACTCTTTGCTTGTGTCACTAATTTTTAGAGACAAATATATGCCAAGATTTTTTTTCAAAGGTGCCCATGCCCATGCTTACATATATCCAGGTAATTTGGTTGAGCAGCATCTACTCAGCACTTGTGTGTAGGTTTGGGGAAAGTGTTCCTGGGGCCGGGCGTGATGGCTCACGCCTGTAATCCCTGCACTTTGGAAAGCTGAGACGGGCAGTTCACCTGAGGTCAGGAGTTCAAGACCAGCCTGGCCATCATGGCGAAACCCTGTCTCTACTAAAAATACAAAAATTAGCCAGGCATGGTGGCAGGTGCCTGTAATCCCAGCTACTCGGGAGGCTGAGACAGGAGAATCGCTTGAGCCCAGGAGGAGGAGGTGGCAGTGAACCTAATCATTTTATTAGACAGAAGCAGGAATGGGGGAAACTGAGGAAGACCAGTTTATTTGGCCTACCTAATTTTTTTTTAAAAAGTCATCAATCCCCCAATTTTAAAAATATTATTCTATTCATGTTTCCTTCTCAATTAATGAAAGGATAAGTCAGGGACAGGTATCTTTTTGTTAAGTAGTCTTCACTGATAGGCAGCTTGCTGTTCTAGTTGTAGCTCTTCAAGCTGCATATGATTTCTTGCCTAGAATTTTGCTAATTTCATTCTTACCAGACTTTTCTTCGCATTCCAAGATTATTTAGACATAAGCCCATGGTGGTATTCAGATGCTCATTTAACCAACTAGCACACTTTTTGCATTTTTAAGCTTTGGTGTTTTGTTTTGTTTTTTTTCCTAAGGCTATTTCTTAATTTACTTGTATTTTATTTTAAGGGCCAACAGGTTGTTTGGGACTTATATTTTCCCTTACTTCCATTGGATTCTGCTTTTCTAACACTAATTTCGTTAAAGAAAATGATTTTCTCAAATTTGCCTTTCGTGTTTCTAAACGCCATATTGAGACACACCTTTTGTTTTCCCACGGTTGTGACAGTTTTTACGGTTGTCTCCCATTCACTCCCCAGAGTGTGTTGGAATGTGACTTTCTATGGATGCTGCTTTTCCAGTAGCTAACTAGTTTAATTTCCTTCATCTCTACTAAATACTGAATATTGCCAACTCTGTGGTCAGCTGGTGCCAATTTTCATCATTCCATTTGGAAATGGGCCCCTTGCCCCTAGCTTTTCCATCTCCATTTTTGCCTTCATCTTTACCCCTTATTCCACAAGCCAGAGAACAATGGTGCATACACGCTGTGGCAAAAGCATGTTTCTTTTCATTAATCTGTTGAAACTCATGAACATTTATAGTTGTCACAGCAGCACAAGCTTATTTTATCATAAAATTCTCATAGCAGTAATGCTATGACATAGGCGTTGCTATTGTGTCCATGTTTCAGATGTTTCCCAAAACTTAGTGATTTACACAAGGTCACATAACCAGAAAATTATTTAGCCATGATTCAAATTCAATCCTGAGTTCCACAGGACATTACTTGCTATTTCTTAGTTATTCTGGCTAACCTGTCTAACGGGTGGACGTAATGACCAATAATGACTTTCAAGTCCTCTTCCTTCTTATTCTTGTTGGTCTGTGAATGGCATAGTGGGATGGTTTAATAGATTAATGACAGTGCTTAGGTTGTCTTGGACTTGGATTTGTCTTTTCTTCTCCTTATGTCACTTTATGGGAGATCCTACATCAACCCTTAAAATGACACTTTGTTCTGGTCTCTTCTACATAATAATACAGCACTGAAGTATCTATTTATATGCATTTATAAATTCCTTCCCAGACCAATGTAATTAAAATTTTCTTTAGTGGACCATCCAAGACTTTCCTATACATACAGTCTCTCTTTGTGAAAGAGAAAAGCCACCCCCATTGAATGCCCTGATTAACCTAGACATGCATCCCAGGTAGAAAGAAAGACAGGGGTCTGGAGGCAGCCTCAAAGAGGCAGGATTTATCTCTCCCTCCAAAAGAAGAACTTTTTCCCCAAGGAAGCCAGTCCCCATGCCTGTGATGCTTTTGTCATGATGAAGATCTGGGTCTACCCTGTGGCAGTTCTTCAGATAAGCAACATCACAGGTCAAGGAAACCAAATAGAATCTGTTTTAGGATTTTCTTTCTTCCTTATGCACGTTCTTATCTCCAAATAAAAATGAATGAATTGCTGGGATGTTTTAAGAAAAGAAAGGTGACTGTCATGGTTGCTACAGTCTTCTGATGACAATGAGTGTGAGTACAGTGGAAAGTAACAATGATTGTATTCTGTGTTGGAAATCTCCCGCCATCGTCAGTAGCCAGTGATGTCGTTGAACTCAGGGCTTGTTTCACATTCTGACTGATGTTTCTCTCCTTCTCCCAACCAGTTAGAGCTGAAACCTCAAGGCCGAATGCTAATGAATGCAAGATACTTTCTGGAAATGAGTGGCAAGTGACATTTCTTCTTTCTGTTTGGGGGTGAGGAGGGCATGGCCTTCTCCTCAAATGCAGCTTATTGTACTTTTGTGATTATCATAGAAAAGAATCGGGAGAGAAGACAAGCAGGGAATTGTCTTAAAATTCTCAGAGGTGCTCAGGCATGACTTGAAAAGACACTAACTGGGCCAGAAAAACATAGACACATAAAGCATGTACAGCGCTTGTTTTTAAGTGATGTGAATCCATATGCCCAATGCTCTTAGCATCTGTCTTTATTTTGGTTTGGAAAGTCAGCCTAAATACAAAAGACTGTTCATGTGTGGTGATGTGTGTACATATTATCTATGTTTAAATGATGTGCTATAACAAGGCACCATACTATCAATAGAATACAAAGTAAGTAAGAAGTCAATAAATATGTTCCATAAAACTAGTAACAAAATGCTAGTACTTAAAGTTAGTCACCTCAAGTCCTTTTAGGAACAAGAAAAGGTGAGAAAACACATCGCTAAAGATTTTTGGTTCCATGTTGCATATGGACTTTGGCCACATAAGTTAAATTTCCTGGTGCAATGAGCTGAGATAGGCTGTCAGGGCGGTGTGTGTGAATCAAATCCCCCTACTTATAAAATCCTAAGCCACAGCATGGACGTGTAAACTTACTGATGGTAAACTGATTTCATTTTTTCCTAAATTATTGTTATTGCCAAGAAGAAGTTAGTTTGACTTTATACATGTATGGTGCTTTCTGAGTTTTGGCTTACCATATATAATTCCTCAGGGTCTAAATTCAAACAAATACATCAGAGAAAACAGTATTATGAGCTAATCATGGAAAACTTGAACACTCACCAGATATTTGATGATATTGAGGTGTGGTGATTCATCATTTAGGTGTAATAACAATATTGTGGTGATGATTTTTTAAAAGGTGTGCTAATCTTTTACAGATGTATACTAAAATATTTTAGATAAAATAATATGATACCATGGCTTTCCTTCAGAATAATCCAGTGGCATGGGGTGTAAGATGGACAGAGCATATTGAAAGAGAGTGACCATCAATTAATAATTGCTGAAACTGAATGATTGATACTTGAAAATTCATTACAGTATTTGCTCAACTTTTACATATATTTGAAATGTTCTATAATAAAATTTTTAAAAAGAATTACTGAGAAGGGAAAAATGGACTCTGAAATTTTATTTCTTTTTGTTCTTGGAAGTTGTAGATGTATAGTACATATAGTATAACTTTTAAGTTAGCTGAGATAGAATGATTGCAGGATATTTGAATATCCAGATTTGCATAAAAAGTGAAAATACTGACCTAAATAATAATGTCAATGATGTTTAAGTCCTTGAATAAAGAAATATATTCCTCCCATTAGTTTAAAGCATGACCCAATGTAAGTTGAAAAAAGGGTTCTGTCTGGTCACGGCAGCTCATGCTTGTAATCCCAGTACTTTTGGAGGTCGAGGCAAGCAGATCACTTGAGCTCAGAAGTTCTAGACCAGCCTGGGCAACATGGCAAAACCCAGCCTCTACAAAAAATTCAAAAATTAGCCAGAGTTGGTAGTGCATACCTGTAGTCCCAGCTACTTGTGAGGCTGGGGTGGGAGGAGCGCCTGAGCCCAGGGGTCGAAGTTGCAGTGAGCACTGATTTTGCCTCTGCACTGCAGCCTGGATGATAGAGTGAAACTCTGTCAAAAAAGAAGGGAAGGAAGAGAGGAAAGGAAGAGAGGAGAGGAAGAGGAAAAGAAACAAGAAAGAGAAAAAGCAAGGAGGAAGGGAGGGAGAGAGAGAAAAGAAAAGGAAAGAAAAAAAAGAAAAGAAAAAGGGTCCTTCATCAGGATGCAGGTATTTTTGATAAATGATTTTAAGATCCCTGCTTTGTAAAACAATTCTATGAATATTCCTCCTATTCCTGTGGAACTTAAATACTTTATTAGAATGAGAGAGCAAATTCAGTTGGGCAAAAACAATGATATTTCACAGACAATAATGACATAAGCCTAGGAAATGTTTTAAAAATAAAACTTTGTAATATTTAAAACTTTTAATATCTGGATCCAAATTGACACTCCATCTCTAAATTTATGTGTGTGTGTGTGTGTGTGTGTGTGTGTGTGTGTGTGTGTATATGTATATATATAATTTAAAAATCAAAGTTATGGAATAACCTAGCTAGAAAATTTCTTGTTGATGACGAGTAGGAGAGTACAGGATGTCACTTCCTTTTAAGAATGCTTATCAACAATCTTGCATGTTCTTCCCATGTACCTCAAAACCTAAAATGCAATAAAAAAAATGAGGTTCATGTATTCAAAAAAAATGCTTATTAGTATAAAAAATCGTCTTCTGAAAGATTCAGAAAAGCAAAACGTGTTCTTCTACTTAGGGAGCATGAACCCAGATTGAAGAGGTGGTACAGATTAAACCATTAGATAAAATTATAACCTAAACCACACAAGTACTGATTAACCCAGAGATCTGTGTGTGTTGCCTTCATTTCAGAAAGCTCCACAGTGCACACATTAAAGGGTAGGAAGAGTTGAGTTTTCTAAAGAAGAGTGATGGCCTTGCAGGAGGAAAAAGTGAAGTCTTGAGCAAGAATATGCCATGGGTGAGGGCTTTGGGGAGAACAGCGTAGGTAGACCAGCAGGCTCCTGCTGAAACCAGAATGAAGAGTCAAAGAGAGATGTTGGAGTGCCAGAGGAGTGTGTAGTCTTAGGTTGTGCTTTGCACTAATGGGAAGAATGTACTTTCTCTTAAGGAATTACACAGTATTAGTCTACGAAATTCCACTTACGTTATGGAAAGGTGATAAAAATATGGTCTAGGAGTGTGGCTACAGGAATAAAATAAAAGGAAGGGTCTATAAGAAAATACAGCCATAGCAAGATTTCACAGTAGTGCAGGTAAAACATCTACAGAATGCCTGTTATATGTACACAGTTGAGATGTTTTATAATTCTTTAAAAATGAGTCTTAGAGCAATGGCTAATGTCTGTAATCCCAACACTTTGGGAGGCCATGGCAGGAGGATCATTTGAGCCCAGGAGTTTGAGACCAGCCTGGGCAATGTAGAGTGACATTGTCTCTACAAAAAAAATTTAAAATTACCTGTGTGTGGTAACACATGCCTGTAGTCCCAGCTACTTGGGAGGCTGAGACAGGAGGATCACTTGAGCCCAGGACTTCACAGATATAGTGAACCAAGATAGTGCCACTGCACTCCAGCCTGGGCAACGGAACAAGACCCTGTCTCCAAATAATAATAATAATAGTAATTACTCCTTATGTAAGTTGAAGGAAGGGAAAAAAATGTTGAGAATCTCTTAAAATAGCTAGACTGGGATGTTTGGTAGGAGTGGCAGTGGTGGCAGATATGAAAGAAGAGGAAAATGAATGGGGGATCAGGAATTCAAATTTGAATAACACGAGATAATATCATGTCTCCCGTGTTTCTCTTCCATGGAAGCCTTAACTCCTCTATATCACCAGGAAGTAAAGGCTCAGCTTCCCATAAGAGACTACTTTGTTCTTTCTCTTTGAAATCCCCGTGTGTTGGGTTTTTGAGCAGGGGTCAGTTTTTCTCTTCTTCCTCTGTTCTCCTATTATTACTCCTGTGGCTTCAGAATTCTTCATGGCTGTCTCATGCCCCCCTTTCTATTTCACACCTTCCTATGCTTCTCTAACCATTCAGTAACCAACCTTCACCCCATACATCATCACTTGGAATTCTCCACCTCCAGGGGCTCACACTCAGAACTTGCTTTCCCAGAGCTCATCATCCTCCCCTGTCAATTCTGCTTTTCTTCTCAACCAATAAGTACCATCCTTTAGTCCAGTTTCTCTTTTACCCCATGTATTAGCCTATTTCTGGCATTAACTCCCTACCTCACTTCCCATGATAAGCCTCTGTCAGCACCCTTCTCTCGTTAGTTCCCTCTTTGCCATGGATGTTCTGATCTCCAAACCTTGCATTCTCCCCTCTCATTCTCCATGGCTTTGCTAGAAAAAGTCATTCAGCTGAGTGTATTACAAACAGATGCCATTAGATGACATTCCTATGGTTCAGACTCTGTCTGGCATCTTAGCAGACCCCTCCAACTAGATCTCCTGTACTTACACATTTGAAGGGGCCAAATTAAAAAGTATTGAAAATTACATTTACCATGTTCATGAGTAACCTATTTATTTTGTAACTCACTATCTCTTAATTATATAATAACTCACTCCACAAAACCTGGAAGTAATTTTTATTGTCTCCTTTTCCTTCACCTTCCATGAATGCATCAGTCAGTTGTTTGTGTTCATGTTGTCTAGTCAATATTTTTTTTCATTTCATTATCTAACTACATCCTTACTACCTCCTACCATATCCCATCCGTTCCCCTATGGTGGTCCTAGAAGGAACAATGCCAAGCTCCAATCCAACCACATCAAGCTTCTGCCCCTGCTGCAGCATTCCAGCATCTGCAAATCGTCTGCAGGAAAATGTTCAAACTGATCTGAAACCTACACATCCTCTGGAAGTGACTGCTGATCTTTTCTGCTTCACCCTCTGCACTCTGGCAATGCCCAGCTAGTTCTGGACACACACACACACACACACACACACACACACACACACACACCACACAGACACACACACACAGACACACACACACACACACACACACACACACACCCCCCTTAGCTCCATAGCTTTGCTCATTCCCTTTCACCCAGAGAGAGCACCTTTGGCTTTTCCCAACCATACCTTCTTCCACACAGTAGTAGGAGTTATCTGTCCTTCAGAATTCAGCACAGAAACATCTCTGCCAGGACCTTTCTTGTCTGCCTTCCCTCTTTCTCACCTTCACCTACCTCCACCTGCTTTAGCTGGTATAGTTTCCTCATTTCCATGGTCCTGTAGCATCCTGTGAATATCTCTGTTCTGACATTTGCCACACTGTCTTTCCTTCTGACTCTTAACTCCTCACAGGACAGCCGCTGTCAAAGCACATCTCATTAATTCCTTTAACTTCGCCGCCAGGTTTCGGGCGAGGCATGCAGGAAGTAGGCAATGGATGCCTGTTGGACTGTTCAGTTGGACTCACCATGGCCCTTACAAATTTCCTTCTTTTCTTTTTGATTTCCACACAATGGCTGTTACTACCGTTCCCATCCTCCGTGGTTTCTGGGGGTGCCTCATTTTCCTCTGATTCTGGGAGGTTGACCTTGCCTCCAATACAATTGCTGGAGACCCCATCTTCTGCCTGTCTCTGCACTTTAGGGTGCAGCTGCTTCCTCCAGCCTTCTCCTCCTGCTCCTCTACCTCTGAGACAGCTGCTCCCTTTCTTGGTTGCACACCTCTCATCCCAGCAGTCCTGCTCTTCAGTACACTTTGCCTCTGACATCCTCAACTCTCCCTTCTCTCTGCAGTTTCCTCCTCATTGCCAAGACATACTGTATTATCCATCTTCCCCAATCTTGAACACCATCTCTTCTTTTTTTTCATCTTTTTACCTCCACAAGTGTTTTTTTTTTCCTTCCCTGACATAGTCCTTTAAAAAGCATTTTGTATTTATCACTTTCTGTTTCGTCCCTTCTATTTATATTCTTAGACCCTAAGACTCTGGCTTATAATTCAACCAATCTGCTAAAATGGCTTTCTCCACCATTATGAGTTCTCACAAGCAGTTCCTGCTTCTTAGTCTTCAATCTCCTTGATACTTCTCTGTCAGACAATGCTGGAAACTCCATTCTTTTTTGGCTTGCCTGATGCGATATTGTCCAAGGTTTCGTCTTAATTTTTCAGCTGCCTCTTCTCGATCTCCTTTGCCATTTCTTTTCCTACTTCCTAAAAAATATGGGTACACATATCTCTGAGTCTGTTCCACACCATCATATATTGCCTCTTAAGGCTAGCTGTTGCCGGCCCACATCTCCCTGGCATGACTGTTAGCCACGCAGTGTGAGGGATCATCTCAGGTTTCTTTAGCACATTCGGCAAAGCAGTTTACTCAAAGCTGTTCGTAGTCACTTGTGATTTGAGTGACTACAAACAAATGATAGGCTGGATGACATAAATATATTAGAATCCATTCGTATAAAAGAAAAAAAGTTACAACAATCAATGAGCTCATTCAAACCAGTAGAGAAATATAGTCAATACCAAAAGAATTAAAGAATTCTATGTTTTTACATTTACTTTTGTATAACGATTGAAACAGGATAAAGGAAGTCACAGAAAAGAGCAGCGTATAAATTCATTCCTGGAAATTCCTGATATTTTAAAAATTTATAGTATTATAATCTAATGTATAAATTATACATATAAACTATATATATAGTTTATAAGCATATGTTTAGATATATATGTATAAAACGTTTAATAAAATCTAATAAACATGTTTAGATATATATGCATAAAATATGTTTGACATATAAACATATATATTTTTTACAGTAAAAAAAACTGTATAGGGTCCCCAGAATAATTCGCTTCCATTCCCTGCATTTAAAAGTATTTTTATATTTATTTTTATTTTATTGCATCTGGACCAAAATAGAAACAAGTCACATGTTATAAACAAATGACCTACTACACCAGTCACAAGTTGTAAATAGATCTGCACATTTATGCCAGAATTTGTGAAAGAAGGTGATTAACCCAGTGACCCTTAATTTAACCCCTCATTTACCAAGCATAATTTATTATTTCCAGCCTAGTTCCAAGTAAACAGACCTAAATTACCTACCCTTAAAGTATTAGGCAAAGCGCTATGTCCCATCTGTGTAACTGTTAGAGGGCTTCTGGAAATTCTCTTTGTCTGGGGTTGCCATAAAACAGATCTATTGACCGCTGTAGAGAAGGCTTGAGTCCTACAATGTGTCCTGGGATGTGGCTGGATTCCTGGGGGAGGTTTCTACCTTGTCAGTTCCTCCTTTGTCTACTTAGAGTGTTTGTAGCCTAGCCACTGTTAGGGATTGGACAATAAGGTACCTTGGAAGAGAATTTTCCTCAAATGCATTGTGAGGCTACTCCCACTGCTTAGCCAGAAGAGAAGCAATTTAGTTTGAATATTATTCACTCTTTGTGAAATAGAATGAGCCTGCTGTTTAAACTAAACCTCAATTTTTTGTATTTGTAACAAAATAGAAGAAATGATCCAAGAATCTGCAAGCTATTATAAAATTATAACCCTAGGATTTAAATTCCTTATCCTTGTTTATTTATTCATACATTTATTTGTGTATCATTTTTGCTATAGCATGGTTATTTTTATTTCTTTACTGTTTCCTGTTATTCTCTCTCACCCGCTGGAGTGTCCGTCATGCTATTTAACCATGACTGCTTTGTGATTTAATGTTTCCTGAGGACCTAGGCTTGAGCAAGGGCATCATGAGTATTCTCAAAATTTGACTTTCTTAGTTTTCAACCTTTTGGAAGGATGTCATCCAGGTATAGAGCAGTGTAAACAGTGACTATCCAAAGCACTTTCACCAACATTCACATTCATGAACCCAGGGTGAAATGAATACATTGGGTCTGATGCTTTGATGCTGATGACTAGATAATGCACAGGATTAGCTAGACACTAAAAAACTTCAGTGAGCTATTAATTTTCTGGCCTTTTCCACATTAGTAAATATGGTTGGTAGCTGGCGTGTCTGATCACTTGGACATCAGGAACCAGGACACGATGTCCCGAAGTTCCTTTGCCCTCACACAAAATTCTGGTTAGCTCCCTCCTGTCTACCCAGCCTGTCTACAACAACCAGCTGTAAAGCATCCTGGCGCCTCTGAAATGCTGTTCCCAAGATGCTGTCAATAACCATGTGATTCTCTAGAATTACAGACAGGAAAGCCTTTGCCACTTCCTGCCTTTTCGGGCTGAGTCATCATTGACAGTGATGAAGAGAGGTTGATAGATACCTTGAAAGTTCTAACCTCTGGTTTTGAAACTTGAAGATGATAGCTCAGCCCACTCAAAGAGGGGCAAAGGATTGAGACAGCAATCCAACTTCATGGCTTTCATCCTCTAATAATATACCCTATGATAAATCTGTGTTTTAGAATTAAGGAAAGATGCTGAGTGTGGTACCCACCATATGAGTTCCCGGAATGTTACTGCAGGTGCTCAGTGCTGGTCCTCCTGGGTCCCCTGCCCATCTCCCTCCCCTCCTGACCGAGCTGGAATAGGAATAGTCCTGTAGCAGAACTTCACTTTCTTCCCCATTCTCTTCCTGTAGACACAAAGGACATGAGTGAATTTGAGACGGAAGGCTTCTTTGCTTTGCATCAGCGCCGGGGTGCCATCAAGCAGGCAAAGGTCCACCATGTCAAGTGCCACGAGTTCACCGCCACCTTCTTCCCACAGCCCACGTTTTGCTCTGTCTGCCACGAGTTTGTCTGGTACAGTAACTTGGCATCTCCCTCCAAACTTCGGGTTATGGATTTTGTTGCATCTTCTTAATCCTCTAGGCTGGCATGCTCCACCATGGGGGTGAGCTGGAGTAAGTCCTACCTGAACATCGTCAGGAACCTTGCCTGAACTGAGATGTTTCATAAGGAAGCCAAGTCTAGTCAGGAAGAATGCCCATGGGATTTTAGTTTCTGCCTCAATGGGAGGCGACTGGGATAAGTGGAAAGGAGCAGAAGTGGAAGGTATCTTTGTTACAAGCACAGTTTTCCAGTTTTATAGTCAAAACTTCCCCCACCTAATGACCCAACTGTGCTGGCACTACGTTTTGCAACAGACAGCACTTTGCCATTGTAGCTAACGGTGTAAATGTTTATAAGTCTCTTGGGTATCTTAACAGCCATCACACAGATCAGTTTAAGCCTCAGTAACCACATCGCAAAGGCTAAGGCTATAACAGAGTGGAGACTTGAAATGACTCCTGTTTCTGGCTCTCAGCATCCTGGCCTATTAAGGGATACTCTTCCCTTTAGGCTTCTGCAGAATCTGTTAATACATAGCTCCCACTTAACCACGATATCCACAGGCCAGATAGATTTGGCGGGTTTTCATCAACCTGCTTTCATCTAATCACTTGAACCGCCTTTCTCTCTAATCATAAATGTCACTCAGGAATCGCTCCTACATATGAGACTTTGTCAGTTGCAAATATTCTCAGATGCTCAGAAAGAGGAAATAAAATGCTACAGATGTCTTTGTTCATCTGTCTTGAGCTCAGTGGGGCCATGAATTTTTAAATCTAGCACAGGGAAATGTGCTACAAAGAGTCCATGATTCATGCATTTTCATTCATGCACTTTTCCTCTATATATGTTTGTTTGGAAAATACAACAATGAAAAGGAAATCAGCTGCTTCTCATTTATTTAGTTATCAACCTTTTTAAAAAGCACCTTAAAATGAAAAACACTTTGTTAACACCCTTGGCAAGCGGTACACCAGGGCTGCTGATCAGAAACTGCTCTGCGATCTTAGGGGGTTATGAGATCTCATTCACCTCTTAGAAGCTGCTGGTGCTGATGTTGATACCAACATTGAAATAAATTGGCGTGTGCTTTATTACAGGGGCCTGAACAAGCAGGGATACCAGTGCCGACGTAAGTAAGAGGGTTTCAGTTGTATTACCATCATTCTTTTTACTTAGTTATATTTTAGGCTATGAAAATCTTAAGCTGCATTTTTTTCTTTTCAGAATGCAATGCAGCAATTCACAAGAAGTGTATTGATAAAGTTATAGCAAAGTGCACAGGATCAGCTATCAATAGCCGAGAAACCATGGTGCGTATTTACACTCCTCTTTGATGTGCAGTGATTTTTATCAGAATGTTGAATGTTACAGCCCATGGCCTCTTCTGAATAATACCAGAACTTGACTCCTTCCATTTATCTCTGAACATACATCTCCCTAAATACTCTTTTATCTTCAGTAATGGTTCTCACCAAGCTACCCAAATCAGAGGATGAGTTAGAAAAGCACCAGGAAGAATTCTCCTGGCTCTACTTTTCCAGAAAAACGCCATAGGAAGTGGCCAGAAAGCATAGTTTAGGTTAATCATATGAGAGCGATCCTTGTGGCAACCCCAGCTAGAAGTGGCAGCAAAGGAGCAAATAAAGGCAAATGGCAATGACATACAGCAACATGGCATTTACAAGGTTGGAGATAAAAACAGGGATAATTTTTATGTTGAGAAGCAAATATTTTTTTTAGAATGAACTTTGAGGTATAATCTGAAGACAAATTATATTTTACGTAATGGAGGAGGGAAACCGGGCTAGCACGTGGGCAGCCTATCATGAATTTTAGATTTTTTACAATGTGTATATATAGGAGGTACAAGTGCAGATTTCTTTTTTTCTTTTGGTTTTTTTTTGTTTGTTTGTTTGTTTTTGAGGTGCAGTCTCACTCTGTTACCCAGGCTGGAGTGCAGTGGTGTGATCTTGGTTTACCGCAACCTCCACCTCCTGGGTTCAATAGTCTCCTGCCTCAGCCTCCCGAGTAGCTGGGATTGCTGGGATTACAGGCATATGCCACCATGCCCGGCTAATTTTTGTATTTTGAGTGGAGACAGGGTTTCACCACGTTGGCCAGGCTGATCTCAAACTCCTGACCTCAGGTGATTCACCCGCCTCCGCCTCCTGGGATTAGTGCTGGGATTACAGGTGTGAGCCACCACTCCCAGCCAACCAGTGCAGATTTCTTATATGCATATGTTACCTAGTAGGGAAGTCTGGGCTTCTGGTGAACCCACCACCCGCAGAGTGAGTATTACACCCAATAGGTAATTTTCAACCCTCACTCCCTCCCATCCTCCCACCTGTAGTCTATAATGCCTGTTACTCTGTAAGTCGTTATGAAATCTTTTGACTTCCTTTCCCACCCTTTCCTTCTTCATTCCACAAATCCTCACTGGGTATCTGATTCATGGAAGATGCTGTGCTCTTCTGATGACTGCATAACACAATATATAATCAATATTTGAAAATTTGTGTATCTTACATAATTTTCATACAAAAGTCTTCAAACTCCAGTGTGTATTATTTTACACGTCCAGCACATCTCAGTTCTAACTTACCACCTTTCAAGTGTTTGCCAGCCCCATGTAGCTGATTGGTTTTCATATTGGAAAGCGTGTACAAAGTCTTCATCAGCCATGGTGTCTTGAGCCATTTGGGCCTGCATTCAAGATTCGAAGTAGTCACCTCCCAGCCTGGACCTTGACCTATTAATTGTTCATATTTAAACTGTGGAATATAAGTGAGTCCTGAAAATTATTTTTTTCTTGTTTGAACATGACTATCGTTAAGTCCTGAGCACATTTTAATTGATTCTAAACAGCCATTCTAAAGAATCAATGCTGACCAGTACCCCTGGCAGGAAGTTTAGATTATTGCTGTGCTGGTGAGTAAGGCTTCTTTGCTGTGCACCTTCCCAAAGGAACTCTTGAATTAGAAACTTCTGCAGAGGTGATAAACCTTTAGAAAATAAAGCATTTTATCCTGCACAAGAATATTGACATTCTTACCAGGAATCCACTACCCAAGTGTTTTGTTGTTGTTCATGCCATAAGTTTCATTTGAACTCGGGAAAACTTTTTTTGTTTTTGTTTTTTTTTTGTTTGAGACAGTCTTGCTCTATCACCAGGCTGGAGTGCAGTGGTGTGATCTTGGCTCACTGCAACCTCTGACTCCCGGGTTCAAGGGATTCTCCTGCCTCAGCCTCTCGAGTAGCTGAGACTACAGGTGCATGCCACCACACCTGACTAATTTTTGTATTTTTAGGAGAGACACGGTTTCACCATGTTGGCCAAGATGGTCTCGATCTCTGGACCTCATGATCCACCTGCCTCAGCCTCCCAAAGTGCTGAGATTACAGGCATGAGCCAACACACCAGGCCTGGAAAACTGTTTTTTAAAAAATTCTGTAATATGTCTATCACTGGCATCCCTCTCCCACATACCTCTCCCCATCCCCCTAAGCCTTCACATTTATTTTAAGACAGAAAAGAAAATGGCTGGGCTCTGATTCTGACTGCCAACCTTATAAATATCCCAACTAGAGCTGTGTGACCTGGGCAAGTTTCTGACCTTCTCTGTGCTTCATCTCCGCATCTGTCAAAGGAGGATAGTAATAGAAGCTACTTCAAATGGGGTATTTTGAGATTACATGAGATGTCACCTTGTGTAATAGATGATGCATGTGACATATTTGTTAACCGCACCTGGAAGGAACTGCTCCCTCCTCTTGCCACCTCAATTCATGAATAATAGCGTGAAAATTCACCTCACATTAGGCTATAATACTAATAAGCCTGTAGAGATGTTTCTTCTAAAGAAGGCATTTTTTTGGCCAGGTGTGGTGACTCACACCTGTAATCCCAGGACTTTGGGAGGCCAAGGTGGTCAGGAGATTGAGACCACCCTGGCAACATGGTGAAACCCTGTCTCTACTAAAATATAGAAATTAGCTGGGTGGGGTGCTGTGCGCCTGTAATCCCAGCTATTCAGGAGGTTGAGGCTGGAGAATTGCTTGAACCCAGGAGGCAGAGATTGCAGTGAGCCGAGGTCTCATCACTGCACTCCAGCCTGGCAACAGAGTGAGACTCCATCTTTAAAAAAAAAAAAAAAAAAAATGGAGTTTTTTTGTTTTGTTTTGTTTGTTTTGTTTTACATCTTCCAGAGGTTAAAAGCACTCATTCTGGACTGAAAGAGAAAAGGAAGTATTTATATTAAAACAGGAAGGGAAGCTTCGTCTATTTAAATGGGAGCAGTGCTTCCTTAGCGCTCATTTGAATAACTCTTGTGCCCTCTTCCTGAGCTGTTGGCCTGTCTGTGCAGGTCCTCAGACTCCAGCTGTCTGCAGGGTGCTTGCTACATACAGAAGGCAAGCATGCCCCTCACCTCCAGTTGCTGGGGGCTGCCTGCCTTCTTCAGGCATGACTGCAGGGCTTCGCAAGTGACAGTGATGGTTTAAAACATACACAATGCCAGTGTTTTCATTATGATCTCTGTTAGTTATGCTAAGGTATCTGCAAGGACATCAAAAGTTGGGGCTCTGGGGACATACACATGGTCTCACCTTCTGCCTTTCTTTCAGTTCCACAAGGAGAGATTCAAAATTGACATGCCACATAGATTTAAAGTCTACAATTACAAGAGCCCGACCTTCTGTGAGCACTGTGGGACCCTGCTGTGGGGACTGGCACGGCAAGGCCTCAAGTGTGATGGTGAGTCTGGTGGGGGGTGAGCATGGCTTGACCTGGACCCCCTGCGGGATGGATAGAGTGAGGCTTTCTGGGAAACAGGAGGGAGGATGGAGCCCAGACAAGTCGTGATTGTAAGTGTGGTCTTCTGCAGCAATAAGCCACTACGTTCCTTTCCTTGCATGTGCAATGCCCTCACCCCCACATCCCAGAAAAGTACACAGCAGTTCAGGTTCAAGGTCAAAGCTCCTAGCCCATCATCACCTTCTGTCATATCATAGCCCTGGGGGAAACAAAGACAGTGTTTCTCCTCTCACGGGTCTTTCTACCAATAGTTTCCTCAGTGAGTTCTGAGCTGCCCCTTCCTAATTTCAACAGGCGTAGCCGTGTGGTACCCCAACCTTCCTCCTCTGCACCTGCCAGTAAGATTCTCTCTGTCATCTCAAGGAGCAAGCCCAGCACATTCATTTTGCTGACGCATGGTCCTGCACAGAAATTCTGTGACATTCGTTTGAGCATCCATCCCTAAACCATTGCTGTGGACTCCAAGTGCCCAGTAAGAGGCTGACCCAGCTCTGACCGCCATTGCCTGTTTTCTGGTCTTTCCTCGAAGGCCAGAATCGCAGCAGAGTCTAACCCGCCATTCACTACTGATGGAGTTTCTCAGACCTATCATCAAAATAAACAAGGCAAGGCTTTCTTGCTGTGAAACTCCAAGTTGCTAAGGCAATAACATTTAGAAGCTGAGATGCTGTTACACTAGGATTAAGGACCAGGGAAGGAAAAAAAAACTCAAGGACCAGCAAAGCACTCTGCTTTCTGTTTGGGATGAGACAGGGACAGGGCCCAGAGAATAGAGCCGCTAAAGGAGAGCCACCTGATGCATATAAACTGTTTCTTTTTTTTTTCTTCTTTTACTTTTTTTTTTTTTTT